TACCCTTGCGAATCTAAAGCTTGCCGACCCAGCTGCTGTCGCCGAGGCCCCCGCCCCGCCTCTGATCGTAGTCAAGAGCCCCAGCGACGCCCCTGATGCGGGCTTGAGAAGTCTCGATCATTGTACGCTGCTACACTCTCCCGGCACTGCCTTTTGCGCTGTCGCTCTTGTCTTGAGCCTGGCGCATCGACAAGTGCCCCATATACCTTGCCCGTACGCAAGCCTCCAAGCCTTGAGCTGACCATGCCTGTTCACAGACAAGAGAGCGCTGCCGCCATGGCGATATCGACTGCGGCAGTCGCTGCTGCCACTGATCCGATGGGAGACACCTTACCTGGCCTATCTGCAGGAAACGATGCGCACCCCGTGGCTCGATAGTTACTTTGCGATCACGGCCAACCTCGGCACTCATACATTCTTCATGATCGGTCTACCCATGCTCTTCTGGTGCGGGTACGCCTCCTTTGGTAAAGGGTAAGCATGATTCGCCGCGCACAGTTTTATAGAAAATATCTAACAAGCTGCTATCTCACAGTGTTATCCACATCCTGGCCGAGGGTGTCTTCTTCACCGGCTTTATCAAGGACTTCTTCTCTCTACCCAGACCGCTGTCCCCGCCACTGCATCGAATCACCATGTCCGGATCTGCTGCGTTGGAATATGGCTTCCCTTCGACCCATAGCGCCAACGCCGTGTCAGTGGCCGTGTACGCAGTATTGCTTCTCAGGAGTCCTGAGAACGCCATGCCAGAGACAACCAAGACCGTCCTCGAGGGCTTGTCGTACTTTTATGCCATTTCTATCATTCTCGGTCGGCTGTACTGTGGTATGCACGGCTTCATCGACGTAATCGTGGGCTCGGTCTTGGGTGCTGCAATCTCTCTTGTCGAGTTCCACTACGGCCCGCCGCTGGACGCCTACATGCATAGCAGCTCATGGTGGGCGCCCGTTATCGCTGCTCTCGTCGTCATTGTTCTCGTGAGGATACACCCCGAGCCGGCGGACGACTGCCCTTGTTTCGACGACAGTGTAGCCTTTGCTGGAGTCGTGATTGGCCTGGAGATCGGAACATGGATGTATGGGCGGACTTCAATCGATTCGTTCGGAGGTTCTGCCCATACTGTTGAGTCCATTGATCTCAATGCGTTGGGCTGGCACATTGTACTAGCCCGGGTTGTATTCGGCGTAGTTGTCATCCTGTTGTGGCGAGAGGTCATGAAACCTACCATGCTCAGAGTTCTGCCTCACCTTTTCCGTCTCCTGGAGAAGGTCGAGTGGAATCTTCCCAGACGTTTCTTTACACCAGCGTCCATGTATAAGTCTATTGACCCGGGCTCGAGGATGGATACGCTTATTCCCAACGTCAGGGACTTGCCCCGTGTAGTCCAGTCCATTCGTCACCCGACAACGCGTGGTCGCTCAGTTTCGATCGGACCACAGAGTGCTGCTGATGCGTATGAGACACTTGCATACCGCGAGCGACGACGTCGGGAGAGCATCGGAAGCAATGGCAGCATCAAGAGCAAGGGCAGTATGCACGAGCTTCGAGAGAAGAGCAGCGACTGGGAAGGGAAGGGAGCAACGTCTGGTGTTCAAGGCCACCACGGCAATTCGCTTAACGACTTTGAGCGCATGATGGGTACGGGGAGCGTGCTGGCGAGCCCGAGCGAGGAGAAGGGAGAGGTGGAGCTGAGGGTCGGCCAACAGGATGAGATGAGTGAGAAGGAAATGTTTCTTCGACTCATCCGCCCACGAGTGCGTTACGATGTTGAGGTGGTGACCAAGCTGGTTGTTTATACAGGTAAAGCGCCATCCCTCTTCCGCATGATCCGACCTTGCTCCACATTTGCTGACAGATGCCGACAGGTATTGCTTGGCTGGGCGTCGGCCTCATCCCAATCATGTTCGAGTTGATCGGCCTTGGATCGAACCATCTCCGCACCGCGTAAACCAATCCCAGATTTTGGATGGTATACATTCTTCACGACCGCTAAGAGGGGTACCCTCTATTCACATATATCTCTTCTATAAAGTTCTTAACTTCTCGCATGGCGTATCGGCAACGTTGCACAGGAGACCTGCCGAAGGGAGGATCGAGGGGTTTGGGGAGAGAACGAGACGCATAGAACCTTTTTTTCACGAAGCACGATCATATTGTACATTCTTCTGGCAATTGCATTTAGCCAGTGGCGGGGTTTTTTATTTACTTTTATGACGGTATATCAGACACGCCATTTTCCTTCATCACGTAATGAAAAGGGCTATGAATTTATTGGCGTCAAAAGGCGGACAGAAGAGTTTATCTGATTCTAGGTGGTACTATTGTGTGATTTGTTTGCCGAGGTAGACATCAGAGGTGAATGAGAGAAGCTTTGTTGGCGCGCTACATCAGTTGAGGACTGTCTACTGTCCATGCCTCTGCTGTGAGACGTACACGTTGTTATGGGCCAGTCACGGCTCTAGTGTCACTGAAGATTGTCTAAGATGATGGCACCTCACCTCATCTCAGGCAAGGTGATGGGAAGGTGTGATGCCTTTGGGGGTTGATAGGCACAGGTTGAGACCCACGACAGCCACGCCGACATACTTGCCTAGGTACGGGTACTTAGTGCATTGTCTTCCTCAGACGTGCTTCGCATACAATATCCCCTCACTTTTCTTGCCGAACCAAATTCAACTCTGTCACTCTCAACATTCGACTGGGTGGGAGACCCTTTGTAGCTGGGGCCGCCATCATCCTTAGTGATATCTGGTCAAATTTATGTTGCTGATGAGAACCTTGATGGCTCATGATGAGCAATTGATGAAGGGGCCAAAAAGGGTCATTCGAAAGTAATGGGGCAGATCCAGCGCCAGCATTCACGAGTGGTGCTTGAAGTCTGGAATCTCAAGGCAAGAGATGACTTCCATCACGAGAAAACAATGTTGACGAATATCACAGGAAATCTAGCCACCATGGATACATCTCGTCGGCGTCTCGTTGTAGCGGAGCAGGTGTACGATCAAAGACCACGTTCGAGGAGGCCCAAATCCACGCCCCCCCTCGGAGTCAAGTCAACCCCATCCTCCATGGTTGGGGACGTATGTGGGGGGTTCTGCAACTCTGATCTTCGCGGCTCCAGCTTCCTCGCCCCTCACGCACCGTGGAGAGTGCGGAGTCGACTGATGATGCTGGACTCTACCTTAGGTAGGCGGGCGCGGTCCGATAAGGGGTTCACACAATAATGCTCATAGGAACAGATACGTGGGAACTTGGTCACGATAATCATCCCCGACGAGACTCGATGCCACTGTCAACATGGGCAGACCTTCGACTGAACAAGCTCACTGGGGAGCTTTCGGTAAAAGTCAAGCTATCGCAGGCAGTGATGCGTACGGGAGCCAGCTTTCCTCCTGGCAGCCCCTCTCCCCTACCTCACCTCAGGTTGCTCGCTCCGCCGAGCAGCCAGGCCAGGGTACTCGGTAGATTGGATCATCGGACGATCCGCTGCCGGCCGGCGGATGCTCTCGACCGGTAGGGCTGGATGGGTCACACCACCCCCCGGAGACTTTGGAGCTTCCAAGTGCCATGCGAGATTATCAGATCTTGATGCTTCTCTCCATTGGTCGAAGCTTTCCAGTAGGGGAAACGATTCACAATTCCGTTCCTGGCGCGATGTTTCCTTGACGCCGTCCGCTGTTACGGCCTGCCGGAAGCGACGGCATCTCCAAACACCAAAGACCAGTCAATGGCAGGGACCCACAACCTTCTGTGCGGATTGGATTTGTAGCATTTATAACGGTAAATGTCAGGGAGAAGAAGCAATTCACGCCTAGACACAAAAGGGCGACAGCTTTGACTACAAAGCAACCCGGCTCCACAGGATCTGAGACCATTGGATGCTTTAGTGAGTTGCGCATTTTTGGATGAAGCCATCGAGGTATTGAACCTGACAGTGCATTTATAGCTGATGATTCGCCCATGTGATGGTATTTCTGAGCCGAGTTGCGCGCATAACTCGCAATCAAATGCGTAGGCTAGATCAATTTCGCTGTGGTTGCGAATTCGACTTGCCCTCACGTGGCGACGTCATTTCCCTGCACTCCGGTGCCGGATTCTGCATTTGCCTCGCGTGCCTAAGGCACAGGGGAAACTCCCCAGTCGGGACTAGCGCAGATCTAATCAGTGTGGACCTTGGAAGCGAAGAACTGGAAGTCAAGGGGAAGAGACGGAACTTGGAAGGCACGAAGGCAAAAGAGGGAAGGGGGTCGCCAACACTGCCCACCTGCCTGCCCCGTCGGATGCTGAGAATTGGAAGGTGAGGTGCCCGCGCACTTTCCGTACCTGAACCACCCGTTCTCTCCCCCACAGCAAGCAGCAAGCGCAAGTAACAGCAACCACAGCCGCAGCCGCATCTGCCCGATGGTACAGCTCTTTCTCGACCCGACACCTCTGGTTTTTGGCTCTTTGCAACGAAAGAAAAAAAGGCAAAAGGAGCAGAGGCCACGACCCTTTTGAGTACCCTCAATACCTTGAAGATTTTTATCAGCCGACGAATACCTTATTTCTGGCCTTAATGTAAAAGCCCTCGTCTTGAGTAGGCTGATTTATTTTGTCAGGTGCGGTGCACGACTGCCGACCGTACCTGCCTTCCCTTCCTTACCTAACAGTAACCGTCAACCTGGGGAGGTGCAACTTCCGCCCTGCTTGCGCCAGCCCTGGTTCATCGGCCCAGATTCGCCAAAAATCGGCCCATTTAGCGAGCCAGCCCAGCCAGACGCAGTTTCCTCAGTCCTGCCGCTCCCTCTACGAATACTCTACAGTGGCCAACCCCCCGCAGGATCTGATAACCAAAAGAACCGAACGAATCTGTTCTCCGCACTCAACCAGACGTCTGCACCTCATATTTTCGGCGACTTGAGAACACCAAGCCTGCCCACTCTCCCAACACGACCATTCTTGACGACGTGCGAGGCAGAAAAATTCCAGCGCATCGACGGTCGCATGTAGTCCCCTCCACGATGTCGACCGACGCTGTCAGCGCTCCAGTCTCGGAGCCTGCACCTGTGCCGGCGCAATCCACGACTGGTGACCACGACGAGGAGCCGACCCTTGGCCAGATTGAATGTGCAAAGCCCGCCTTCCTCCACTCACCCCCCGACAGCAACAATGCGCCCAAGTCGGAAGCCAGCGACTCTGAGCTCAGCGACCTCGACGACGATGCCGTTGACCCATCTGCTGCTCCTGCGACCCAAGATGAGGCGCCGCCGCCCGAGGACGACATTGGCGAAGTCCTTCCCGACCACTGGTCCGGGACTGTCCCTGTCTTCAGGCCCACGATGCATCAGTTCAAGGACTTCAAGCTATTCGTACGCCCATGCCTCTCCCTTTCGTGCCCTTTGTCGCCGTGTCTTTTCATCGGCTGACTGTGACTGTGACTGTAGATGACCAAAGTCGATCATTATGGAATGAAGTCCGGCATCGTCAAGATTATCCCTCCTCCCGAGTGGAAAGAAAACCTCCCCCGACTCGACGACCTGGTGAAGCAGATCCGAGTCAGAGAACCAATTAAACAAGACATTATGGGATCGAATGGAACCTATCGCCAAGTCAATATTCTTCATCAAAGATCCTACAACCTCCCGCAGTGGCGACAACTTTGCGACCAGAGCGAACATCAGCCCCCAGCGCGGCGAGGCGAGCGCCGAGCCAACGTCGAAAAGCCGAAACCCCGATCCGCCCCCAAACCTCGTACAGAAGCGAAATCAACGTCGGCCGGGTCTAGAAAGCGGGGCCGAGGTCGACCGCGCCGGGGTAAGGCCAAGGGCAAGAACCAGGATGATGAGGACGATGCCGAAGAAGAACAAGAGGAAGAGAAGCGACCGATGACGCCTGTTTCCCCTAAGCCGGCTGCGGATGCGGACCCCAAGGTCAAGGTCAAGAAAGAAGAAGTCGTCGACTCTGTAGAAGACCCGGGAATGGATGTTGACGAAGATGAGCCACCAACCGTTGGCAGAATGGGTCGGATGGGTGGCGCGAGACAAGCAAAGCCAAAGACCCAGACTGTTTCGGCCCGTCGGAAGTACAGCAAGAGAGAAGGGTCCGCCATGATTGACGAAAAGGCGTTTGAAGACTTTGACTATCAGATGGATGTCTCTGACTATACCCCTGAGCGCTGTGAGGAACTCGAGAGGATATACTGGAAAACCCTCACGTACGCCCCGCCGTTGTACGGCGCAGATCTCATGGGTACTCTCTTCGACGAATCGACAGAAATGTGGAACTTGAACAAGCTTCCCAACCTGCTGGACGTTCTTGGGACAAAGGTTCCCGGCGTTAACACGGCCTACCTCTACTTGGGCATGTGGAAGGCCACTTTCGCATGGCATTTGGAGGACGTCGATCTTTACAGCATCAACTATCTCCACTTCGGCGCCCCTAAACAATGGTACAGCATTTCACAGGCTGACGCCCGCCGTTTCGAGGCTGCCATGAAGAACATTTGGCCCACGGACGCCAAGGCTTGCGACCAGTTCCTCCGTCACAAGGGATTCTTGATTTCCCCATCGCACCTCAAGCAGCACTACAATATCACCGTTAATAAGTGCGTTTCGTACCCGGGTGAATTCGTCGTAACCTATCCCTACGGTTACCACTCTGGATACAACTTGGGCTACAACTGCGCCGAGGCTGTCAACTTTGCGCTCGACTCTTGGCTTCCCATGGGCAAGATCGCCAAACGTTGCGAGTGCGCACAGGCGCAAGATAGCGTGTGGGTTGACGTATACGATATCGAACGAAAACTCCGTGGCGAACCCACTCCCGAGTACGAGGAAACTGACGAAGAAGACGAAGAGGACGAGGATGAGGATGAAGACGACGCTACTGGCCTTCCGTCTCCTCCTGGTAGTAACGGCATTGTCAAGTCGGCTCGCAAACGAAAGCGCGCTGCTGGGGACAAAGAAGGCAGGGCAAAGACCAAGCGGATTCGTCTCAAGGTCAAGACGCGCGCAGAGCCGACGTGCTGCCTTTGCCCCAGCGATATCCCTGGTGCAGAAGTCCTGCCAACAGACGATGGCCGCAAGGCCCATCGGATGTGCGCGCTATACCTGCCCGAGACATACATCGATACCGTCGACGACAAGGAGGTCATTGCGAATGTTGCCAACATCAACAAGGAACGCCTGGATCTCAAGTGTCTCTATTGTCGGTCCAAGAAGGGTGCCTGCTTCCAGTGCTCCCAGAAGAAATGTGCTCGGGCCTACCACGCCACATGCGCGGCTGCCGCGGGTGTCTTTGTCGAAGAAGCCGAAGTCCCGGTCTTTGGCGAAGATGGAACCGAGTACAAGGAGCAAGCGTTCGAGTTCAGCTGTCGCTTCCATCGTACCAAGCGTGATAGGAAACATACTGGTGACTCCTTGGAGGATGATGTGCGGATTCGCGAGGCTGCAGCAGCACTTACCAAGGGCGACATCTGCCAGCTGCAGTACTTCAAGGGCGACATCTTTGCCGGTGTCGTGGTTGAGAATCGCGCCGATGAGCAGATGTTCCTCCTTGATATCATTCCTAATGGGTATGTCTCTATCGACAACTTTGATCAACAAATTCTGACGTGCTGTAGTGACCGTCTCGAGGTTGAGTGGAAGTGGCTTCTACTGCCCGACCCATCTGACTACCACCTTCCAAAGGCGTCTTCCAAGGCTATCCCGATGCCATCATCGCAGAAGGCAAAGGAACGACTGAATGCGAAGCGCCCTGCTGATGAGATTCCCCGCAAAGATGCTCCCTTTGTTGAAGGCTACACATGGGCAGAGTTCCATCCATGCAACGAGTGTACTAATCCAAACCAGACCAAGGTTGATCTGTCGAAGGACAGCCAAGTCTGGCACTATCTCGGCAAGACGTCGACGGAGGCGAAGGCACAGTATTCTGATGATCCCGCCAAGCAGCTGCACAATCCCAAGAGCAACTTTCTTGACACCATTCCCAAGCCTCCCAAGCCTGTTTCCGCAAGCACGTCGCATCGCAGGGTGTCGGTTGTTCCCCCACAACCAGCCCCATTGCCAGTGTTTACGCCTGGAGTCGCTGTTCAGAATGGGCCCAAGTCGGAGAAGCCATACGTATACAAACCCAGGAAACCTGTCGAAACCAACTACGCTGGGACCGGTTCTTTCACCACGCAAAAGTCCACACCCAAGGCTTCTGCGCCCCCGACTCCCGGAGGACAGCAGATCCACTTCGGAGCTGATCCTCGATACCCGATCCCGGGTACCCAGTTTGTTCAACAGAAGTTTGCTCCCGACGTACATCAACAATATATGCCTCGTCCCGCTCCAGCTGGGCAGGGCTACTACGAGGCTCCGAACTCGATGCAACGGTCGAGCCCGTACAGCACCCCGGGACCGCAACCCGTAGTCAGCGCGCGGTCCACGCAACAAACGTGGTCGACGCCGTCGCAGAACTCCAGACCTCCTTTACCACACAGTACTTCGCAAGGCTCAACTCAACAGAACCATCGGAGATACTCGGCCGCACCAACGCCTTCTGTTGCTATGAAATATGCATTCTTCCAGGTTCACCACAACAGGTCAGATTTTTCCAACCCTAGGGACTTGATTAATAATACTCACACACTCCATAGAGACTCGAAGACGTACCGAACTCCCTATGCTCCATGGGGAGGATTCACCAACGGATATGAAGGTAACCTCCGAGCTCATCTCATGAGGACGTCTCCAGAAGCCTTCTTCAAAAACCGGCAAGGCTCCATTCAGGGAGGCACGCCGACACCCGCTCCGAACACGGGCCCGCAGGGACCTGCTTACGGCGGTCCATACCACAACACACTCACGAATGTCATGCCTCAAGGTTCTATCGGAATGTATGGTGTCAAAACAGCGGCCCCTTATTCTTCACCATCGCCGCAGGTCCCTCAGAATCACGCCAGGACGCCATCTTACTCATCGATATCTCCCTCTCCTGCATCAGGCAACTCTCGACCCAGCTCGCATGGCCAAAGTCAGGGCTGGCAGCCGCAGCAGCCACAGTCGGCGCCGCTACATCCGGCGATCCGGCCGCAGTATGGAGGTTGGGCAAACCAGCCACAACAGCAGCATCCTCAGCCTCAACACACTCAACCAGCACAATATCAACCCTCGCAACAGCCTGTCTCTCAGCAGTCTCCTGCTAGCCAGCCTCAGTCTACCCAGACGAAATCTCAGCCTGCAGCAAAGCCCGCTGCGCCGAAGGTGCAGTATAAGGTATGACCACCTAATACATGACATTTCCCCAAGTAGAACAAGCCCAAGCTGACTCAATGATAGATCCCCGAGAAGCAGACACCGGTTCCCCTCCCGGCCAAGTATCTCGCAGCCATGGGCAAGATGCCTTCGGCTGCTACTCCATCCAAGACCAGTTCGAAAACAACTGGAGCGTCTGCGCAAGGTACGAACCCACCCCCGGCTGCTCGCCCCGGGAAGGATGCAACCCAGGAACCGCCGACGGCAGCCACCAATGGCTATACCGCGCAAACGGCTTCTCAACCGTCAAAATCAGCTGGCCCAACGACAGAGACGGCGCCTCCCGTAGCTCAAGCCCCCGTGTCGGTACCGCACACACCAGTGCCGGCTCCAACCTCTCGAATGCCCTTTACGAATCAATCGATGACTACGGCGTTCCCCCGACAGTCTACCCAGTCTCAATCTCAGGCTTACGATACGCCATCAGCCCAGCCGTTCCCTCCCGCGAGCCGACCACGGACTGAGCATCTCAACCCAGCAGAGCTCTTGGCCCAATTTGCCCTCACCCCGCGCGTGAATCCGCCGACGCCTACAGCACCTTCCCATCAGTCCGCACCGTCGCCGGTTCCTCTACAGACAGCTGCCATGCCAGGCTACCAGAGTCACGGTTCAAACTGGGGACCGACGCAGCAGCAGCAGCAGACACAGCAGCCCCAAGCCTGGGCGCCCCCGCCGGGACATTGGCAGCCTCCACATCATCAGCAGTACCACCAGCATCCTCCGCCACAGCAATACCAACAGCATTATCGACAGCAGAATCAGCAGCAGCCGCCACCACCGCCGCAACAACAACATCAAATGCAAGCGCAGCCATCGTTACCCCCGCCCCATCAAACTCCTGAGGACGACGTTCCTCTGCCCGATGTGCCTACGGACTCAACGGCCATCGTCGAGAGGATGATGCAGAATCTCCGCCGCGCTGCGTTCCAAGGCTGATGCGACACCTACCTGGCCTGCACGGCACGTGTACATGTTTGACTAGTCTACGATTCGAAAACCAGAAACCAAATCTCTTCCAGTACGATACCGCCACAGTTGAACTGAAAACGACCAAACCAGAAAGACGGAAGGGAGGGGGGGGGATGTGTATGGAATGAAAAGATATGCATGATTTTGCACGGGTTTCGGCGTTTGAATGGGGGTGTTGATCGGGCTAAGCTCAGGCCTCTCATGGAAGTTCCTCTTCGGAGAGCGGTTTCATGATGGACGGGTGGGCTTTTTGTGTTTTTTGTGTCTTCTTTTATAGTCTTCCGAGCTTCTCTTTGCAAAAGCGTACATTAGGTTTCGAGGACCAAGACGCAAGGAAAGCAGGCTACCTAGCTAGCTAGCTATAGGCGCGACTTGCTTTCCCCGGGCGTCTCGAATGTATAAATAATGAAACGTGCGATGTTGCCCAAGTTACGTTATGCTCCCTCCCCTCGTACGGCTCCCGATGTTGAAAAACGAAGGTGATGGGTCTGAAGATGAGGCCATTGCTCTGGAATTTTCGCTGGTCGTTGGACGGGTCGTTCAGTTCGCTGCAATTCGTAAACATCCATAGGTGATTAAGCGGTCTAGACAAAAGTTGTCATTGACCATCGTGGTTGGTTGTGAGGTTCTCACTGCAATTTCAACTGCCCTCGGGCCAGGGGGATTGACATCGCATTACTTCAGATTGCATCAACAGACAAACGAAGGAAGACCACAGACGTAGTAACGTAAATAATGATTGGATTTTTTCGCTTTTCCACAAAAAGCTAGCATTCTGTAGCTAGCTGACTACAACTTGGACGGAATATTCCCTTTCTGTACTCCTCCAGTTGTCGCCAATTCATCCCCTTCGATTCACGCATACTTGTTGGCGACGAGCCACTCCTTCAGCTTAGCAGCGTCACGCTCGCGGTACGCGGCGCGACCACGGACCTTGTCCTTGACGGTCTCGAGGGTACGGGCGAAAGCGCTCGTGTCCTTGTCGGCGAAGAAGGCCTCAATGTCCTTGACGGACTCAAAGTCGGTGAACTTGCCCAGGGAGACCTGGATGAAGCGGTCAACGACAATGGGGTTGCCGAGCTTGGCGAGGCAGGCCTCCCAGTTGTTCTTGACGTAGTCCCACTGGATCTGGCGGGCGACCGAGTTGCCGGCGAGAGCGGAGCCGAGGGAGTGCATGTCGGCGGACGGGACGGAGTCCGAAGCCGGGGCGGGCGGGGACTTGTTGAAGAGGAAGGGGAGCAGGTTGTTCTTGATGATGTTCTCGTCGCGGACGAAACCAAGGTTGGAGAGGCAGATCTCCTTGCCGTCGATGGCGGGGGTGGTGAACCACTCCTTCTTCAAGGCCTCGACGGCACGGGCCGTGTCGTTCTTGATGGCGACGCGGAAGACGGGCGTGCGGAGAGCGGGGTGCAGGGGGTTAGACTCGGGTGACTCGACCCAGGCGTTGAAGCGCTTGGTGGCCTCCTCGGTGACACTACGGTTGTTAGTACTTGTATAGACTCATCAATGGTGGATAATATTTACCCAGCATGGCCGTTGACACCAGCAGTCAGGAGGACTCTCTTGCGGAGAAGTCCGTCAAGGTAGCTCTCGCCCTCGGGGAAGTCCCAGCCCATCTTGGCCACGACGTCGTTGATAAGCTTCAACGTGAAAGTCTCCAGACCCTTCTTGATCGTCTCGTCATCGCTGAAGATGGACTTGACAAGTGCGATAGAGTCAAGGACCTGACTCCACACGAGGTAGTTGTCCTCCTTGGCGAAGCCTTGGACGAAGGACAGAAGAGCCGCGGTGGTGCCGTAGCCAGAGAAGGCAAGGTCGGCGGAGGAGCCGATGATGGCAATCTTGTCCTCGGTGGTGAGGCGATCCAGCTGCTGTCCGAGCTTCAGAAGACGCTCAGGGGGGTAGTTGACACGGTAGAAACCGGAAGATCCAGAGTTGAGCTTGTAAAAGTCCGTGTCGATATCACGGATCGTGTCCTCCTTCTTCTCGAGAGACAGGGAGGTGACACCCTTGGTGCCGACCTTGCCCTCAATCTCAAGGGGAATCCACCAGGTGGTCTCGTCGTCTTCGGGCTTGACGTCGCCAGTGGAAAGGAAACGAGACTGCTTAACAGAGATCTGACCGGGCTCCTCGGCGACGGTCAGAACGGGGTGACCAATCTTGGAAATCCAGGGGCCCATGAGCTTGTTCACATCCTTGCCGGACGCCTCAGTGAGAGCATCCCACAACGCCTTGGTCTTGGCGTTGCCGTACTGGTGGGCCTTGAGGTAGTTGGAGACACCCTTGAGGAAGGTCTCGACACCGAGGTGGTTGGCGAGCATGCGAATGGCCGAGCAACCCTTGAGGTAGCTGATGTGGTCGAAAATCTGGTTGACATCAAGGGCGTCCTTGACAGGCACGTGGATGGCATGACTGGCTCTGATGCCATCAAGCTTGAAGGCCATCTCCATACCCTCGTTGACAAACTGAGACCAAACCTGCCACTCGGGGTGCAGGTAGTCTGTCGCGTGCCATCCAACCCAGGTGGCGAAACCCTCGTTCAACCACAGCTCATCCCACCAGTCCATGGTGACCAGGTTGCCGAACCACTGGTGAGCCAGCTCGTGAGCGACAACGTAAGCGACACGGTTGCGGTACCTGGCCTCGGACGTCTTCTCGTCGAAGAGGACGGCGGTAGTGCGGTAGGTGACGAGACCCCAATTCTCCATGGCTCCGTGTGTGAACTCGTGGACGGCCAACAGGTCGGCCTTGGGCAGGGGGTACTCGATGCCAAAGATGTCGGAGAAGAAGTCGATGATGCGGGGCGCGTGCCACAGAGCATAACGGCCCTGCTCCTTCAGGCCACGGGTGGTGTAGACACGAACGGGCAGCTGCTTGCCGTTGTAGCGGCGCTCGGTGAACTCCTCAACGTACTCAAAATCACCAACAGCCCAGGCGAGGAGGTATGTGGACATCTTGGGGCTGGTCTCGAAGGAAACCAGCTGCCAGCCCTCCTTGGTCTTCTTGGTGTCCTTGACGGGCATGTTGCTGAGGGCGACCTGGTCGTCGGGGATCTCAATCTCAAAGTCAAAGGTGGCCTTGAGGTTAGGCTCGTCGAAACAGGGGAAGGCCCGACGGGCGTCGCAAGACTCGAACTGTGTGCTGAACATGTAGTGCCACTCGTCGTCGCGGGGAACAGACTTGGCGGGCTCGGCGGCGGGCTTGTACTTGCTGCGGTAGAAGCCGGCCATCTCGTTGTTGATGATGCCCTCAAAGTCAATGGTCAGAACAGCCTTTTGCGCCTGGGGGATCTCCTCGTCAAAGGTGACGGTAGCGCGCTGCTGCTTCTCGCCATAGCTGAAGTTGGTGGACTCCCATGATTGCGTCGACTTGGTGTGGCCGACGGCGATCTTTGCGCTGAGCAGCTTGATCTCGAGGGCGTTGAGGACAATCTCCTTGGTAGGCTTGACAACCTCGGCGTCGATGCTGTGGGGCGCAAGCAAGAGGTTAGCATCTCGGGCACGTCTTTGGAGTGCTGGTTGCAGCTCGTGCTGAAGTTGAAGCTGAAGCTGAAGCTCGGAGCTCGGGCGGAGTGAGGGGTAGGGGTGTATCCTTACGTCACGGTTCCCTTGTAAGTCCAGTCCTTGAAGTTGAGGTCACGGAGGGAAAGGACGTAGTGGGAGGGCCGAATGGACTCGGGGAGAACTTCGCGATCAGCCATGTTGCCGACTCTGCTGGCGTACAGTGCCTTGTCGGATGTGGTGATTGTCGAGCAGTAGTTGCGGTGGGAAGCGGGTGCGGGGAAGGAAGAAGGTCGGCGGTAGCTATTTGTCCGCGAGGCGAGCTTTATGTCAGTTTCGTACCCTTGGGGTGGCTCAAGGTAGGCTGCAAAGAGGAGTAGTAAGACAAGGAGGACAATAGGAAAATGGGAGGACGGAGGAAGAGGAAAGAAGAGTAAGGTGGTAGTAGTGGTAGCAGGAGGGAGGCGGGAGAAAAAAAAGAAGAGTAGTGTAATGGATACGATCAGAGTAGAAGCTGTGCCAGCTCCACAAGAGAGTGCCTTCCTACTTGGGATTATGGGCAAAGCGGCAAGCGGCAAATGGGACAACTGGCGCGTGGTAGTAGACTCTCAGGTACTGAGGGAGATATCCGGATTGGTGGTATGGTTGTGGGTTTGGATCAAGGTGAAGGAGAGAGTTCCGGGGTGGATCAATGGTGATGCTCCGAGGTGAGGGGCAACGAGGGGCACACAAAAGGTCCCTGCATGGGTCAAGCTGGTAGGTAGCTCTCGTGCGTTCTGGGGCTGTCCACTCCTGTCCACTCATTGAGTGAGGTAAGCGTGGAGTATGCTGCCCACCACAAGCAAGGCGCCGCTACGCTCGACTTGGTCCACGGGTGCGCGCAGGCCACTAATACCTTCCGGTACAGGCAGCCCAGGAACACCCGTTTCTCCCATCGTTGCTGTTCCATTACCAAAGAGTAAGGTAAAGCACAGAGTAAATCAAGGTCTACTAGGCCTTTGTTATCCGAGATGAGGGTACTTTGGAAAAAAAAAAGAAAGGTCCCAACAGATAGAAAGGTGGCCGGCCATTCAACGGAGGGGAACCTTGAAACCAAAAGAAAGCAGACCAGACAAACTTACCTTGCAATGAAGGCATCGCGAGCAATCCGTCCAACATTGGAAGCCGAGGACCAGAGAGCATTAGACGTAGGCGTGGTGGAAGCTGCTGCCTTGAAGACAGACGAATTCGAGAAGTGGCGTCTGAAGCCGATGCTGTACGAGCATGATGAAGAAAAAGAAGCCGGCGCCGATGAGCCAAAAGAGGACGATGATGTTGGTGTTACAAGAAGTGATGGCAGTAGTGGTACAGATACACAGCAGCCGCGGACCAGACCGCGCGCCGCAGGACCAAACGTCCGTCCGGCCAGCTGCCCGATCGGGTTCATCCTGTTTGATCGGTCCGCCCAGGACGGACTGGACGCAGAAACGAAAGGACTATAGAGCTGAGCTGGTGATGAGGTTGAGGCAGGTGACAATTGCCTCAGTGCATCGTCGCTACCGATTCCTTCTTCACGCTGGTTGGAATACTTTGTAGATAAATCTCTGTACGAGGACGGGACAGACTCAGGAGGTCACACAGCCTGTCAACTCGGACGCTTCGGCGCGGGAATTAGCCTGTTTAGGCAGAAAACGGGGCTAACTGCTGCTGGTACGAGGCTGTGGTGGCTTGTGCTCAACCATAAGTTCCCTCGAAGGAAAAAAAAAAAAAGTTGAATTGCTCAACGCCGACGACAAGCGAGATGACCTCGGTACGACTGCCCCCATATAGGGTAGGTAGATATCTGTATGCTTTGAGGTATGAATGAGTGGAATTCCATAAGTTCAGTTAATTAATAACATATCACAGTCTCAAGCGAAGTAAGAACGAACCGAAAAGATATATAGCTGTAATGTGAACCATTGTTGCTCTTCCTCTGCAACGCTCAATGTATAAAGTCCTCCCCCGCTATGGCATCCCAAAACCTCTAATACTCGCTTGGTATACACATCGTCAAACGCGATCGATGCCTACCTATAGTGCTTCCCTTCCCTTGCCTCCAGACAAATTCCCTCCCAACACTCTGAGCGCGCTAATTCACAAGATACCCAATGCGTCCCAACCATGCCATGAAAAACGGCCTCGAAAGCAGCCAATCCCACACCGTAACGCCTGCCCCCATTCGATCCCGAACAAGTACATCATTACGTCGTCAAGAGAAAAAAGTTCTCAAGAATGCCTCCTCCTCTACTCGTATATCGTACCATGCATACACACGTGCTCTTCGTCTTGCAACCTTATGCCTTGCAACCTTATGCCGAACTGCCGGCGCTGGCGCTAGCGCCCGTTGCTCCTCCCTCCGCCGCCACCTTGGCCGCGACTTCGTTCCACCACGATCCGTGGGCCGCTCTGTCGACGGCTCCGACCTTGGATATCTCGTCCAGCATCTCCCGAACCTGCACCGCGAACTCCGCCAGGCCAAGACCCGCCAGCTTCTCATGCGCAGTCGTGGCCGCGTTGAGCTTCTCCTTTGCTGATCCAGCAGTCAACCTGGCGTTCATGTGGCCCCTGAGCCTGGCCAGGAGAAGCCGCAGAACGGGTTCTGTCGGCTCGATGCTCTTCTTCATCGAGTCTTGGCTAGCCTTCAGCACCTTGGTAACGAGGGCTTTCAGGTGCGTCTTGGTCGCTGCTGGCATAGACCTGCCAGCCTCGAGTGCCGCCATGACACCCTGTACTGTCGATTCGACATTGTCGTGATCTGCCTCAAGCACCGCTGTGATCCGTGTTGCCTCCGTCTTCCACGGCGTGCGGACGTCTCGCTTCAGGAGGTTCTTGCATTGCAGTAAAATGGCCCCGGTGGTGACAATACGCTGCGAGGCCAGGGACAGCCGCACCATGCGCTTGTAGTCCAAGCCCAACATCTCGGGCACTTTGTCAACGGCGATTGGAGCCGGCTGCGTGAAACTGTCGACGAGCAACTGTGCGTATATTTTGTCGTCCGTTGGCCGATTCTTGGGGTGATTGATGCCCTCCGGGTCTCTCTTTCGAGCCTCCGCCAGAACCTTGGAGCGTGCAGAACGCCAGGCCGTCTCGGCCGCGCTCAAATCGTGTGCACCGCTCTCAAGCGCCCCAGTGAACCTCTTCCTCTCATACCCTGTTGCAGACTCAATCAACTGAGGAGCTGCAGTGGAGAACATGTAGTTGACGTAGTCGCACAACATGAAATCGACAAATTCTGTCAATGCTTCCACGCGATCAACCAAGCTCCCTTTTTGAAGTTTGTTTTCTACCAAATCCTTGGCCTCATCGTCGCGGAATGGCGCGCACAACTTGGGCAAGAGGTTTGCCATGGAAGTAAAAAACTTCTCATATGAGAAGTTCCCCATCTGGAACTGCCGCTCGGCCACCTCGACATCCAGTATCTCACTAATCGTTGTGTGCATGTAGGCACCGGGCTTGACGAGCCGCTGCAGATTGTCCTTGAGATATTTCATCATGATGACAAAATATGCAAAGCTAGCGTCCATATTGTCTTCCTCAATGCTTGCTCTCATTCCGGCAAATAGGGGTATCTGGACGGCAGCGTGGTGTTCCCGGTATTCGCTTGAAGGGATGCGGTATTCTCGGTTAATGGCAAGCTCGTGGACAACAATCCTGTTATCGGGCAACAGGCCGCCGAACCCAGGCTTGATCTCAATGGGCTGTGGTTTGGTATGACCCTTGGCCGGCGTTGGCGGCGGTGTCAAGGTCTGCGAATCCGGCGACACAAGGCTTTCGGCAGTAGCGGAAGCCTCTCCGGGCACGTTTTCGGCGACCCGAGGCTTCATATCGCCAGTGGGCTTCTTTGCGGCTCGCGCCTTGCGAGCCTTGCGAACGGCATCGCCAATCATCTTCTTGCCCTTTTCCTGGCCCGCAAGCTTCTTGATCCGCACAATCAGCTGAACTTGATTGCTCTTAATGCTCTCTCGGTATTGCTCTGCGGCCGCGTCTTCGGTGCTTTCCTGGACCGTCTGCAAAATCATGTCCAGCTCAACAAACTGCAAGAGCATCAGCTGAACAAGAGACTCTGAGTCCCGAGACTTCCATGCAAGGAACGCATTGTAGAAAGTGGCATAAATCTCGGGCAGTGCACTACGTAGAGTCGGCGGGGGGGTATAATTGTTGGCTGCGGTCAGACGCGACATGATGTTCTCGAAAGAAATTAGGAGATCTCGGGCTTTCGTCACGAGGTCCTGCAGCTGTGGATTAGCAAGGTCATTACGGGGCATTGGTTGAGGCTGTGACAATCCAACCTGTTCCCTATCCCCCGTGCCGTCCTTGTTACTCAGAACCTGCGTGGGGTGGCCCAGAATGAGGAAAGCGCTGAGAAATGTGCGAACGGCGGCCATCTCCTCGACCGACCCCGTCTCGCCCTCCTGCAAGCCGCATATCCTGAGGATACGGGCGGTCTGTACGAGGACCTCTTCTTGCGCCAACAGCTCGAGTACTTGGTCAAAAGACGTGTCCCGCACGCCGTCAATGGTGATGCCTAACCCGGAGAACTCAGCAACAGCCTTTCTTCTCATGAGGCTCTTCCACCACCATTGCAGTTTTTCGGCTGCTTCAGGCTCGCTCAACACCCGAGCACGCTTCTCGTCAGAGGTATTCGAAGAGGCCTCGGCGGGCTTCCGCGACATGAGACTCTGGCCTCGCGCCCTCTTGGTGGCATTACGGCCCTTTAGCTCTTCTCTCCGCCGCTCGGCCTCGGCCAAACGTTCTTCCATCTGAACGCGGAGCTTGACCAGTTCCTGTTCTCTCTTGCCCTTCATGGTCTCGGCAACGGCCTTGGCCCTCTTGACCTCCTCGGCACAGGAAGCCACGATCTCGGCTAGGTTGCGCTCCCGGGCTTGTTGGGCAGCAATGGCTCGTTCTTCGGATAGGGAGGTGTCGCGGTGGCTGGCCTTGGCCATGGCGGCTCTCAGACGAACCTTTTCGGCGTGGGCAGCTCGGTCGGCGAGGCGTGCTTTTCGGTCTTCGAGAAAGGACGTGCGCCGGAGGTGCTGTGCAATGTGCTTGCTCTGGTCAGAGTCTCCATGGCGGGTGAAGGTCTGGGTCGAGGAACAGCGGGAATGTGCAGAAGAGATGGAGTTGCGGCGGGAAGAGGCTGCTGAGTCCTTGCGACGGGTCTGGGAGGGCCGGTAGAAGCGGGCGGCGATGTGCGGAGGCGGGGTGAAGATGCGGCCGTCAGTGTCGTCCATCTCCTCGTCGGAGGTCGGGGGCATGGATAGGTCAACGTCGGCTCCCTCCATGGCTGACGATGGTGAGCCAACAGACTCTTCTAGATTGCGCGAAGGGTCGGTGAGGTCTGCCGAGGGGCGACGCATGTTGTATGGCGTGCCTCCTAGCTTGGATGTTTCGGAGGTTCGAGCGGTTGCGGATTCGCAATGGTTGGTGCAGTGAAAGACGATATTTGGCGAGCGAAAGGGGCGGCAAAGGTGGTGATGATGTAGTTAGGTCGAAGGCTCTCAAGACGGAGAAGGTTTCCGAGTGATACAGGAGTTACCAGGGGTTGTGTGTCGTGTTGTAGTCGCAGTCGCGGCTGGTGGTCGAGGGGGAACCGGTCGGGTCGCCCAAACAAGGTGGATCGGGCTGAAGCCTGGGATTAAGCCAAGGTGCCTAGTAGGCAGGCAAGCGAATGGATTTCGGCTGTCGATTTTTGGGAGGGGGGAATAACAACAACAACAACAAAAAGGTGTTGCAAGGGGAGGGCTGGTCCTTTAATTTTCTGGTCCTGAGAAACGAAAAACGACTGGGTATAAGGCAGAACCGAAAAGGTCAGAAGAAGGCGTCTGCCGTATGAGGGACGAAGGAAGTGGTATGTGAAGTTGGAAAGTCAAGAAGTTCGCATTGCAACCTTGGGGGGAAGTCAAGGAAAGCCCGAGGAAATCATGGCTGGCGGCCGGGCTGCGGGAGGTGCTGGCGTTAGGTTGGTGGTGGATGGTGAGGAGTGGTGGTGGTGCTTGGTGCGTGCCGAGTGGTGTAACAAGTGCGAATGGATGGCTGGGCTTGTGTGTTTGTGTTGTGTTGTGCGTGTGGACTGTGGACTGTGGACCGACTTGCTGGGAATGGAATGACGGAAGCTTCCAGTTTCCCATACCTTGGCCACTAATTGTGAAATTCACCCTCTACTGCCCTCCTCTTGCGGCTTTGCCCTGCTGACCGAGCATTTGGGGCCATTGGCGCAATTGCTCAGGATCTGCAGGTATGACAAACAGTGCACTATCCACCGATATGCACTAGCGTCCTTCCATCTTTAGCGAAGCTAGCGTGCTCCCGACTCTTTCCAGCCTAGATCCCACCACACTCCAGCCCCCCATCCCCCCCCCCACGGTGATACTTATCCGAACTCTACACGGAAGACCCGGAGCCGATGATACTCTGTCTTACATTCAGTCCGGATAACGCACTCTCATGTGATTTATTCTGCGTTGGTCTGTTGGCTTGACCGGGTACTTTCCATCGTACATCTCTGGCTGCCTTGTTATCGTTCCTGGTCGAAACGGTACATGTCCCGTAACGAAGCAAGCGAGAACTGCAGGTGCAAGATCGCGGGTCCATGCCGGATCAGGAAAGACGTTGGCGTCATATTCCAGCCAAGATGCTCATGGTGCGACTCTAGTCACGTGGATGTGCCCGGCCCCGAGGACCACCGACGACAACCTACGTAGTAAGCCACCACCGGCCGCCACAGACACTCCAAACGGTTGTGGCGCCGTCCCGGACCGTATTCACGAATAATGTCCTACCCTCGGCCACCCCAACATCTTCCGCTCTCCCGCTGTTGTGGTAGCTCGCACCCTCCAGATTAGCTTGCGATTCATGTCCCAGCGGTTGTGTGCTTCTGGTAACCCGACCGAACACACGATGTGACGCCTTAGACTCGGGGCTTGCTGTTGGACTGCGCACTAACACGGCTAGTCGGCGATCGACCTTCGACCAACATTTCCGTTTGTCTACCTCGTTTCAAAAGACGTGCCATGTGGCATTCCATCCCATCGGCTCTATCGTAACAACTGGCCTAAGTTGCGGAAACCTGATCACATCACTACCGCTGTAACTGATCATCTTCGCTGGTTACTTTCATGTACTCCTTGGAGACCTTAATATAATACACAGAGCTTCCCATGACCATGACGACAACAATAAGACAGGCAGCAGTATGAGAAGCAACTTGTCAAATGGACCGGCTGATTGCCCGGCTAGTTCGCTTCAAGTTTGGTTCGGTTTATCGTGGCTTGGTTTCTCATGGGTATTTTGGGTCCCCACGGGTTTGGGTGTTTTGGGTCCCCACGGGTTTGGGTATTTAGGTCCCATGGGAACGGGTTTTGGGTCCCCATGGGTTTCAGTACCCATTGAAGACCGTATAATCCTAGGCAGCGGCATTCACAAGTCAATAAACCACATTCTCGTGCTACCAGATTGTCTGAGGTTCAAGGACTGCGTACTTGACCGCGTCCTCATGTTCCGACACGAGCTTCTTACTCAGTCTTTTGCCCTCTTCTACCCTGTTGTGATCAAGGAAGTTATCCAGAGATCAATCGACTTGCTCAAAGCATGAAATCAGCATAAGTAGCCACCGCCACGTAATTTATTCGAGTCCATCTTCCTCGGAGTAGCTGGATCTCGAGCCTCAAGCAACTCGTACGGCCTCTGAGAAGCTCAACCTCATACTATACTTCGCCCTCCCAGTGAAGGATCAAATGGACGCCATTTTTTATTGACTTGTGAAGGACTCGGATCTCAAGTAAATGACTTGCTATGCTGTTGCAATTGGCACATCACAGTCTACATGGCATTCCCGTTGTCGTCAAGTGGTTATAGTTCCTATTCGAGGGCCATTGATCCATCACATTTCTTCAAGCCCACAACTAGCCAGATATCAATGCCAAATCGTGATAGAGTGCCCAGACCGGGGTGAAGAAATTGACGTCACCTAAGGCGAATACATCTAGCGAGCTGAATAATAATGACAACGACCGACCACTTGTTGTTTGTGTCCATCAAAGTCTACATCTCTGCGTAAGGATTTAGTCTCTTCTGCGTACCCAAGTCAATGAGTGAGGTGCAGGTGAGGTATGTTCAGCATCGTAGCTATACACTTATCTCATCTCAAACTCCATCAACAACACTCAACATCAGTCCAAATCACTAGACAATGAAACACATAGGCGAGACCGCAGCATGTCATGACTCATCTACGTTGATTCAAAGCCTATTCTGGCTGTTTCGGCCGGTGAGCTTTCACGAGGAGCGATAGTGGCGTTCTACAGATGAAGTAAAAGGCTTACATCAGAGAGCGGAGAGATCAGAGCTAGCTTCATACATCCAATACAACATCCACGGATATCTATCTCCGTGATAGATTTGGTTCATCAGACGCGCTCACAATCGCTGACGACCGTAGGCATTAGACGGATTCGACCGCCACATCCACTCGAGAGCGTTGCTTCAGATCTCCAAAAGCCCCGTTGCTCGCTATCATGTGAAAGAAGATAAATCCGAGCCCCAACTCCACCATTACCTCTCAGGGAACAAGCCACTCGTCCGCCCAGGTCATGACTTCTACGAGAGCAGCAGTTTAGCCAAATCCCGAACTTACATCCAATGAGTTTGAAGCATGGATCACAAGTCCATCAAGTGCAATCAACACCACTATATAGCGCAGAAGCTCCAAATTTTCTTCGTCAGACATTCAGGTATAATTTTGCGTAGACCGGTATGCTTGAGAGAAAGGTAGACGTTATTCGTAGAAGCCAGACGACGACGTACACGCTTCTCAACGAGTAGGGGATAATTCGATCGCAGTGTGCTACTCGGCTGCTAGATGGGTCCTCCAAATTCCAGCTCAAGCAGATAAGTTAATTCGTTACCCTCACAAAGTGGCAAGGTCCCCTCATTCCGACAAAAGGCGATTGTAGAGAAGAGGCTGCGGGAAGCCGAAAACTTGGGGGGAATAGGAACGTTGAGATACATCTTCTTCCAAACGACAAACAGCAGAAAGGAAAAAAGAAAGCCAAAATAAATATAACGACTAGGCTCTCCCTCAAACACCACCTCGCAGTGCCGAGCTGGATGCTTGCTCTTCCCCCTCCTAATCGTCCACCAGCACCCATACTCTCCCCCTACTTCGAGCTCGTCATGGCCCTTCGTCGATGGCCACCTTCCCCAGATCAACTCGGGTGATCTTTCGATGCTAATCCATCGAGACTTCCCCGTGAGTTGTATTCCGCGTCTGTGCTTCATCAGCGTCAAGAGAAGCTCTAGCACCGCGTCAATTGTCTGCTCTTGACGTACCGAAGCCAAGGATATCTACCTGAATAGGCATGAGCCGAGATCGTCATACGTAACCCAGCTCTTGTCCCCTGGCTCTCTCCCACGTCTAGAATAAAAGTACTACACCGATGGGAAACAGGAGCCCTCGTGAATGCCCTGGAACTTATGTCTCAGGAGTGATTCATTGCCTCCTACTTCCCCCTCGACCGCAACGGAACTCGAAAGAAGGGGCCACAAGCGCTCAGGGGGAAGGTTTCGAGACGGGCGGAACCTCGAGAAGAGAGAGAATCAAGATGCGCTGGTTTGATTTCGTATTTGGGAATCTAGTTGGCGGTGCGCTTCTACGTGTAGAGAATTCTCCCGCTTCCGGCAAGTTTCATGAATAGTACCATACTTTCGAGACGTGTAGTTGAATGGGCTTTCCCATCCCCGATTCCAGAGTTCAACCTCGGCATGCGGTTGACAGTACGCCGACGCACACACCAGAGCAGGCGACAGGTTATACGAGCCAATATACTACGAGAACAAACATGCTTTCCAGTGATACGTGTTGTAACATCGGCAGAAGAGGTCGATCTGGAAGGTGCTCTGGGCCGTACAAATAGCCCTTCGCCATACCACGGCGCAATTCAATACAGATTATCGAACTTCATCCAGGCCGAGAGGCTGGCCCTGCTGACGTACATTCCAACAATACTTGTTTACTCGTTGAGCTATTAGAGCCATTTAGGGAGTCTGACGAACATGCTGATATGTCCACTCACGCAACGTCAAAACAGCTACAACCTTGGCGAAGCAGACCTAGAGTTTCAAGAAGAGATTCTCATTCGAGGACATGAAAGGGAAAGGAGTATCATTCGGGATATGTAATCTCAAACTTTGCCCTGACACTGTATCAGGTGCAGGCTCTCCACGAGATTTTGCCCGCTCCAAGATCGTACTTTTTTATTTTGCTTGAACTCGTTAACATCAACACCAGACCGTACGACGCCCGATCACCAGAAAAGCAGGTTCCCATCAACTGTCAACTAACCCAGCAGCAAAGCCAACC